ATTTCGGGAATTTCAAGTCTGCTCTCATTCCATTTCCGTCAAAAGTTCCGGGAGTCGGAACTGTTTTGTTCCAATTTCTCCTACTTCATGACCGTCAAAAGTTCCGAGATTCTTTTTAGATTTTTTTGAAAGTTCCAAGAAAGTTTGGGAAAATGCAAAAGAACTGGAACATTTTTCGGGAATTGCAAAAGTTCCGGGAAAAATTCAGGAAAATCTCAAAAGTTCCGAGATTCGGTACTAGTTCCGGGCAATGGGAGCACTGCTGATTTCAAAGGCAAATTTCATGAAAAGGACGATAGCGCTGTTACAAAATCTTGATGTCACCACCCAGATTAAAAAGAAATGCTATTTTAGGAGTCGACCCATTCATAATGGTCACTTTTACGCGAGAACGGATCCGGTACACTTGTGACGTCACAGTACTTGACATACCTGGACTCTTCATCGAGCGGCTGTTAATTCTTCATGGAGAAATTCAATGCAGACGATGAAGAGACCAGGTTTGCCATGTACTGTGACGTCACGACTGAACTAGATCCGGATCTATAATTGGGTTGTTATCGAAAAATAGCATTGCTAAGATAGGACATTATCGATTAAGGTCGTTCAATAACTATGGATACGGCAACGATGCCCAAGTTCGAGTCACCCACTTCTAGGCGGCATTTCCTACTTCCAGCAGTTCGCAACTGTTCGCTTCCACCCACGCCCAACACGGGTTGCCAATGTAGTGTTACCGAAAAGAGCCGAAAAAGTAAAAATAAAGTCTCGGTAATGGTTTCGGTACCATCCGAGCGGAAAATTTAATCGACTTCGTAAGAGAGTACCAAAAATGCTCTTAAAAATTGTTCGGGTGATGAAAAATCGACGAATTTAATTTACAACTACGCATGAAGAAGGGCCTCCCCACTTTAATGTAGGGCAAGACAGCTGGACATGATATGTTAAGCGTGTTGCGTGGTTATGTTCCGGACACGAAGCAAACAAACTTTAAAGTGAGAAATTGGCAGAAAATGGTACCATTTTATTCAAGACAGCGGCTCTAGGTCTTCTTCGCTTTTAACTCGCTTCGTTTGTTTTCTGCTTTAAATGTTTTCTTGAAACTCATGTTTTTCAACTCGACTAATTTTGTTGTTTTAGTGAGACATACAGTTCAATTGAAGTGAAATAGTTGGATTTTGAAGGAGGCTTGATTTAAAAAAAGGCGTTACTATTCTCTTCGGCGACACCTAACTTCAGACTCAATGATGACTCATTAATGTCGAAGCGAGCATTTTGATAGACTTTTTGTGAATGAAGGGCTTAGAGGACACGATCCATAAATGCAGTTCTCGCTATTTCGAGAAATACGTGTTGAAAGTTTCGAAATTACACAGATCCTTATGACAGAAAGAGAGTTCAAAGTGACTTTTTGATGCTTGAAAATTGGAATTTGGAAGCGAATATGCGCCGAGACTAGTTTTACTTGAAATCGTTAATATCTAATTTTTTTTTTTCAAAAATTGCACTTTTGCGCCTTGTCCTCGAAGCCTCTCGGATTAAGTTACATACAAAGATGCTCCTACAACGCACTCCGGCGTTCTGCGACACCCAGACGCCACATATGCCTGTCTTCCGAAAGGTTATCCGGCAACGAACACCGCAACATCTCTTCGTCAACGCCCTGCCGCCATCCCTTTACGGGACGTCCCCGAGATCAAGTTACGTCTTAATAATCCAATTGCTCAGCATTTCAGTCATGAGTCATAATTAGGGGAATCTGAGAATGAATGACTACTAGGCGTTCCTTTTACACTTTTGAGGGAAAGCAAAGTTGAGTCTCTAAACTTCCAAAGTATGTTCTCTCTGTCGACATCACCGTGGATATCCATGTTGACGTTCGCCGGCAATGGTAGGAATCGGACCGCTCGTTTCTCCGTGATCAGAAATCGTGCGATTTTCTGGCGTTTAGCGTCATTTGCCAACGGCCCCCAGCGCCCGGCCCGACCCGGCGCCGGCCAATTTTCCCCGGACGCCAGGCCCGGCGCGCGCCCCCCTCAAATCCTCATTATAATGACAACCTCTGTTTATCTACCCGAACCGTGTTTGATATCTCCAATCATGTTCCTTTATCCTTATGACAGCTCGCCGGTCGTTCATTGTAATTAGAACCACAGTTGCCGATCCTTCGGAAACGCAGCCGCACTGAAAAAAAATCTCGGTGTATTTACTAAGAAAAGGGTAAAATTACCAAGAATTCAGGGTTCTATTTGATCCCAGTTTTTTCTTGGTTTAAATTACCATTCATGGAATTGGTAATTTTACCGAGAAATCTCCGTAAAATTGTTGAACTTTCTCGGTCATTTTACTGGACCTTGGTAAAAACGCCAATATTTTTTATCGACTGTGGTAGAATTACCGAAATAAAATGGCAAAGTTACCGGGAATTTATTACCAATAAAAGTGGTATTCTTACCTGAAAAAAACAGTACAAATACCGGATTTTAGGTAAGCTTACCAGTCTGCCTTGGTAGAATTACCAATAATTGGTAAAAAAAGTGAGATGGTAAAGGTACCAACGGACCGCTGTTAAAACGCCGAGAATTTTTTTTCAGTGCGCGCACCTCGCGAAACGCTGCCTTTTAGCTTGGAGCTGGCAACACTGCGGTGGGTGTAGCCGCGACTGTGCTTGCGCCGCGGTTGAGAAAGAGGGGGTGGGGGGAGGGGAATTTGCTCCCGACACTCTTACCGGGTCAATTGTTCACTTTCTTGCGACCGGAGGTGCTTTTATTCGGGTAGAACTGAAATCAAATGATATCAATGAGCATCGGATGATATCGGATTGAGTACAAGATGTCTAGCAATTTTTAACAAAACAAAATTCCCTGAAATTTTCCTGATTTCCCTGACAAGAATAGCCAAAAAACCCGGGGAAAAATTTAAAATTCTCTATCAGACGGAAAATATAATTCTCTTGACATTTCCCTTGCAAAAGGAAGACAATTCCTAATTTATGGCGAGCTAAACTTATGCGATATATTTTTGCCTCTCAGCGGAAATGTTAAGGTGCTCAATGGCCCAAGATTTGTGGTTTGAATGAGAGCAGTGGAGGTTAGGAGTCGCAGAGCGCGAGGGAGTGCTGTAAAGCGACTTATATATGTATTTTTGCCTCATTTTTTAAATTTAAAACACACATCAGCAGCAATTCTGGTAGACATATTCCGTAAGAGTAAAATGCGCGAAACATCTTCGAAAAATCCGTGTTTTTCGGTTTCCCTGACGCGAAAATCGCTAACAAAATGAAATTTCCAGACATGCCGAATTTTTGCGGATTCCCTGACGTTTTCTCTGCTTTCCCTTACACACAAAAAAATCCCCTGACATTTCCCGGTTGCTAGACACCCTGGAGTATGAATTAAAAAACGCGTAATATCATCTTTTCAAATAGAGAGTGAGTCACGCGACGGGCGGTTCGGAAATCAACATCTTAACGAGGTATTAGCATACACTTTCAACCCTGATCGAAGGAAACACGAATCAAGCGCGTGCGGTAATTTTATTGACAACTGTAACGTGTGGGCCGTGGAAGTAAAAAGGAGTTAAAAGAGCACTAGGCGACACCTAGGCGACGTTAAATGCGAGAAGACCCGGATATTAAATTGGCGAGTCGATTGGACTCGTGCTCAAGTCTGATAACGGACAAAGAAATGGATGTATTCATGCTGAAAAGAGCTATGTACAAGGGATTCGCTCGCTGCATAGTCTCTTTTACTCTCGTTCATTCGAACATAGTTCCTTTCAATATAAAGTCGTCCAAATGACACCCACTACGTGTCATGCCCTCAAATGTTTCGCAATACACTCCGCTCGGGGCTTCCATCTGACCTGTCGTTACATAAAAGAAACGAAAAACCGTCCGAAATAAAATTTGGACTTGAGAATAATTGTAAGAAAAATCGTAAGTTTCGATAAGGCGAATCACTGGCTTCATTGTAGGGAGCATTTAGAGGAAACGAACGCTCTTAGTTGGCGCCTGGCGATAGGCAACTAAACTTGCACCATAAGCGGTCAAAATTGCATAGCTCTCTCTTTGAAGGCGCTCGGCATGAAAATAATTCATTTCGCATTGTAGCAATAGGAAAACCGATCAGTTTTAAGCAACTCGTTTTGATAGGTTCTCATGATGAATTAAAAGAAGAAGTTAAAAGTCCACCGCTATTGTTGGTTGAAAATTAAAATCAATAAATTGATTCTGACAACTCGTAAATGGGTAAATTAAAAAAATCGAGAGAGACAAATAGATAGGTACATGAAGCAGCTGATCTCTAGCATTTTCGTAGAGAGATCCTTTTTCAAAGACCAAATTACAAATTCCCAGAACTATATATTTAATACTAGAAATAAATTTGGTACTGCAAAAGGGAATTTCGTGTTACAATATAAAAGCTCTGAACACTCTCCACACAATCACTTAGGTAAATCAAGCTAAACATTAATGACTTCGTAATCCTCCTTATCTCACTGTATCTATTAAGCAATTCTAATACATCCATTTTGCATTGAGTAGAACGGAGGAATTTTGAGAACAAGGCGCATAAATGCAGTTTTTGGAAAAATTGAGATATTTGTGAACTCAATTACAACTAGTTTGAAAGGATATTCTGTGAAAAATTCACAACTAAAATCCAACTTCAAAGTATCAAAAAGTGAGTTTAAACTTCCTTTCTGCCATAAGGCTCCATGTAAATTTGAAACTTTAAATATGTATTTCTTAGAATAGCAAAAGCTGCGCTTATACGCCTTGTCCTCCAAACCCCTTAACTGAGGGTTTATTTCTAAAGAGGCAGATTATGACTGTTATGAGCAAAAGATAGATATTGTACTATATTTCCTGAGAAATCCTTTTGTCATGTTTTGTTGAGAGAGGGTCCCTAGCCTACTTTTTAGGGATTGTTGATGGAGAGAATTCAAATCTTGAGAAAATGAAAACATGCAAAAATAAACTGGACAGGAGTACTTACATTTGATGCTGGGTAGGTGGACACTGGGCCGGCAAAGTAGGAGGAAGGTGTGGAGCTCTTGATCCCAGGTTGTTCGTTGGCCGCGATAAACCGTGACCAGACCGCTCTGGTTCAATATGTTTCTGGATCGGCAGAAACGAAGCCGATTCCACTGTCCCATTCGTCGAGAGTTTTTGGACAGCACTCGCGAGACGCGAAACGGAGCTTTCACTTTGATAAACCGGTTTTTTGGCAGGAAACATAGCCTTCTTAGATATTGCGTCCCTCCTCACACTGGATTTTCTTGCGAGGTTTTCCTTCGCTTTCACTGCAGCTATATCTTCACTAGTAAATGCTATATCACTATTATTGTTTGAGAGTCTTTTATTCACACCATTGTTCCTATTTGCAATACTATTTCTTGAAAAAGAGGACTTCCTCTCGACAGGAACTTGAGGTCCTGGTAAGTTTTTAGATGACTGAGATAAACTATTCAGGATGGCATAGTTACTATAACTGTGTTCTTCAATTTGTTCAAACTGTTTCCGTCTTTCCAGAATGGATGATAATTTACTTCCACTGTTCACGTCTTGGACATTGCGTGGACTACTCCTTGATTTTTCCACCAATTTTACATCATCAGGATTTTCATAAAATTGACTTTCATCACTTTTCGAAATTTGATTTGCTAAACTAATGGAAGAGTCATTGGCTAGTCGTTGTAAATTGTCACGATTTTCATAATACCTGAGGGAGGAAAGTACAAATGATATTAAAAATATGTCATACCAAGTTAATGAAAGGTGGAAAGTTTCATATTTTCGTTTTTTCTTTTTCAATAATTTAATGAGAAATTAAATGATCAACTGTGATATATGATTACTCTTGATGATTTCAAACATATTATCATACATAAAATGAAAAGAGCAAATAAAACTGCATTTCACAATTTCTACTTTCAGCTTCCAAATTTTATCTGCCTGGTGCATCAGTTGGCTGCACAGATGTTGATAACTATTGATCTCATAATAAAGATTCAAAATATGAATAGAAAATATTTGTTTTATCCGAGATGCAAAACAGAGATTCTACCCATACTTGTTGTCAGCTTGTATTGGGAGTTCCCCAAGTGAACGCAATTTTATTTTCCCCGAAATCTTGAGGGAACTTTCAGTAGAGGCTTGCTGAAAATCCCATTTTGTTTCTTTTTTTCCAAAATTACCTTCTTGATTTTTCTATTTACATGTTTATCTTCGAAAAAGAGAGAGCTTGAAGATTGAATGTTCAGTTAAGAGGAGTAAAAAGCTCTAAAAGTAAAACTCTGTGGATTACAAAATTTATAAAGTTTCTCTGGATACAATTTTTCCATACTGAAAAAAGAGGAATTCCTAACTCATTCCTATTCACAAAAAGAATTTTGGAAAACTATTTTACCTCTTAATGGTACTCATACACTCATTTGAAAAAATAAAGAAAGAAATAATTATTTTAAAGCATAAGTTTGGAGATGAGTATAATTTCCAACTTGAATACTATAATCAATTACGAATATCAGTATTTTAAAAAAACTCACCTTTCCACTTCACTTTTCTTTTGATCTGTAGCGCAGAAGTTGTTGGTCCGTTTAGGGAGTATTGGTGGGGCAGGGCTATCACAAGTTCTATCAGCATTCCAAGCAGGATTCTCTGCTTCCGGAGGTGGCGGTGGTAACGGTTCATCTGTGTCAAAAACTTCGTCTTCAACAACGGGAGGGGGAGAAGGCGGGGGCAGGTCAGGACTAGGAGTGCGTTGTGGCAGTGAACCAGGAAAGCTTGAACGTAAGTGAGGTTTCTTAGGTGGTCGTTCGGGGACCCAGTCATCAACGGAGATTGAAGGGCCCATAATGAGGGGACCCAAAACCACAGTAGATAAAGAGCCGCAACTAGAGCTGGAAATGAGGAACAGTAAAATTAGCACGAGAAAATTAAAAAGTATAAATGAATATTAATCACCTTAAAGTCCAGGGGGCTTAGCTTTAAACACATCTTTATAAGAGTAGGTATAAATATTAGTACATTTTGATGGCAGGTGTGGAAAAAATTTAAGGTGTTTCGAAATCACTGCTCCAATTTTATTTCAGCTTAATTTCCCGTTCTTCCTGAACGTTTTCAGTCATCTCTAAAAGAATCATTCTATGGGAGTGTCAATAAATGAACTCTCTCTAGATCTATGCTCTACTTCATCAGTGAAGACAAGTTCATCTCACTTCGAACGCAAACTATAGATAATAAACAATCACAGCAGAACAATTTGCGAAAAAAATCTAGTACATATATAAACAATCAGTTCTATAAAATAGCTGATCATTTCATCTACTAATCTGTTTGAAGCTAAAATAAAATTCAATTAATAAATATATTTTACATATCTTCTTAAGAGTGCAAATATTTTTTCTACGGTAGGACAAAGAAACACACAAGCGCAGCCCAAAACGGAAACAGTAGAAAGAAAACAAGGAAACAGCGGAAAAAAGGCTAAAATGCATAAAATTATACGGGATGTTTTTGTGTCTCACAACACCATTATCAACCGCGAAAAACAATAAGTCAAAACCGAAGTATAAGTTCTTCAATTTTTTTCATGTTTTCTATGGTCGTGAAAATCCTTTCCCAGAACTGAAATAAGAAGAGTTGGATTCCATTTTGCAAAACGGAACAAAGAGCCTTCAGATATTGCTTAGATTGTGCAACTTTTTTTACCTTGCAAATATAAACTGATCATCTAAGCAAGTTTTATCTTTACTCCCAGCAAAATATAAATTCAAGACGGAAATTATCTTTGTAAATTTAATTTTTTGCAAGATTTTAGGAATTTTATTGCAAAGAACATACTTTGCACAGTCCTAGCCACATTGGAATACTCTTCGTTTCTTTGTGCAAAATGCAATCCAGTTGTTATTTGCTCATTTCAAAAAATTTTCCAATCCAAATCCTCACAAGACATTGTGAAAATTGTAACCAGTTGTGTATTAATTCACAAAAGTTGAGAAGAGGAAAATGCAAACATACCTGTGTTGGTGCCTTGGATTTTCCTTGAAATGATGACTTTCTGGACTAAGGCCTCCATTATCATCTTCGCTCTGAAAATTTAAAAATTTAAAATTTGAAATAAAAGGTAGATTTAATACATGAAGCTCAGCAACGCTCAGAAAGCTCTAATTTGCAAACCAGCTGCCCAAGATCAACACAGATTGATGCCCTGTGGTGTTACTTGTAGTTCTTTGTGTACATTTTTACTCGTCCAAGGATGTACTTAGCCGTTGCTGTTTCTCCTATAATTCTGAATGAAAGCCATTCTTTGGTATTCTGGCAGAGCAATCTTTGAGATTTTAATCATTTAGTAAAACTTTTACTATATCGAATGTTACTTCGATGGCAATTCCAATATTTTCCATAATGTTTGATCCAAGGAGTAAAATCGTCGATTAGGTCTTTCTTGCAACATTTGATACTATCAAATATGCACAGAAAATACTAAGTCATAGTCATTTACTGAAATTCTACGAACAAAGATGACCACATAAATGATCTAAGAGGTTTTGAAATGAAGAGCAATTTTAATCTCAGAGCTTTAAAGCACTTTTTCTCCTTAGCTTTTCTAAATATTCTTACATCATTTAATAAATAACAGAATGATGGGTACACGATGCTGAAATTGGATGAAAATGTAAGAAAACAAGACTTTTTGAGCCATTACAAACTCAATTTTAGTTGAAAAAAATACTGAATTAATGAAAAAGATAATTTGCAGCCGAAGTCCAGTTGACATCAAACAGCCATTTTAGTGGGTTCTACAAAATGTCCTTGGTTTTAACTAGTTGCACAGTTTCAACTCTGTTTACCAATTCCAGTAAAAGCTCATTGAGACAAAAAATTAAGGAGACTGAGACAACTATTGACTTCAATGAGTTTTCAAGTTCATCATTTCTACACTTAACTAGATGAACAGACCACTAAACGAAAGATGAAATTAAGCACCAGTATATGTTTCCTCATATAATTTTACGTAGAATATGATGGATGCTTTAAAAATATCGGAATTCGACTCATAAGTTGGAAAATAAAAGTTTTGTCTATTTTAATTTGCAGTGACCGCTCACAGTAAAACAAAAGTCTGCTCAAAAAGTCAAGTCAAATTAAGTACTAAAATGATTTTGGTATATTTTAGGTACAATAGAAAAATTTTCCTGCCCTCGGACTTTTTTTTAACAAAATTGAAAGTATCTGGTACTCATCAGAAGAGGCTCCACAAGTGTGTGAAACCAAGCTCTAGTTATTTGCCTAATCTGCCATGCAAAGGAAAAACACCGTACAAACAGTCAAGAGTTACCAAATTTCCTCCAATAAAATGTTTGTTTTTGAGGAGAGCTATGAATATTTTCTCTTTGAATTTCCAGATAATATGGATCTAATTACAAAGAAAATTTTCTAAAATATTGAACGGAAAATATTCACGAGTTTTGCTAAAAATTCGTATTTGATCAAAGGAAATTTGGCAACTTACGAAAGTTTGTACAGCATTTTTCCTTATCAAGGCAATAATGTGCAAATTGATCTCACTGCCATTATGGCTTTTGCTAATTATGGTTTCTTTGCAATAGAAAAGGAGCATTTTCCAGGATCAGCAGCCGTGCAATATAAAATACATTTTTAGTCCTTGAAGATTAGGGATTTACCTCTTTCCAATATCCACTGGCACTGTCGGCAAGTGAGGAGCGTCTAGACGGTAAATTCAGATTCCTTGGTCTAGGCGGTGGTTGTGGTGGGGGAGCTGATGTTGGGGAAAGCTGCGGCTCTGAGCGCCATGTAGAATGATGCCGCTCGTAGAATGAGAGAAGGGCTTTTTTCTGGATTGCTTTGAGGGAATTATCTGGAACCTTGTGTCTTTTATCTGGATCTAGGAACGAGTAGCGTGCTGACTGTGCCGCTTGCTGTTGTTGTTGTGGCTGCTGACGCTCAAGCCTTGTGATTCGTTCAGCAACACTCAAACTAGGTTGGGATCTGAAGAAAATAAAAAATTTATTAGCCGAGGATTGATTTCAACAAGTTCAAGATTTTACATATAAAGGAAGTATTTTATCTCAAGTAAAAAATCCTTTCTAAGAATGGGAAAAAAAAGTATTTTAGGGGAGCATTTCAGGATGTTATACTCGTAAATAAAACCTATTCTGAGGCTGAGAATGACTCTTCAACAGCATGTCATGATTAAATGAAAGGTTTATGAATAAGCTATATTAGAATTTCTTCATCATGGGTTTGAAAACCCTTTCCTTCCTAAGTGATGTTGTTCCAATTTTTCATTTCAAACTTAATTTTACAGGCAAAGAAAAGATAAGTCTGTCATGGTAAAATGATCAATGCAATCGCAGTTTGTGATTCATTACAAATGCAGGAATAGGTTTACAAGTCCTATTATTCACATTAGTAAAACACCAACAATTTTTTGCCCATCAAGAAGGTAATATTATAGAAATACAGTCAAATGATCATCTTTTACACATACCAGACAATATAAATTGTTCATTTGTTTTAAATAGAGGGTAGATTTACAATTTCTGAAACTTTCAAATGGCAAATCCTATAAAAGGTCTTTAAAAGTCTACATTGTGCCTAGCCCTCCCTTTAGATTTTCTTGAGTTTGAAAAATCTCATAAATGTCGCCAGTTTCCCGGTGTATATTTTTTCTTCTTCACAATAAAAAAATGAAGAAAGTCCATACATTCTGACCCTTAATGATGGTACCAGCATGCTATTTAAACTTTTGAGACAATTTATACTAATTTTCCTCCTATATCTTCTTTTCCTCTCATTGGTGTCAGCGTGAACAAACATACCTTGGAGAAACTGCTTCTGAGGGTTGAACTGTATACGTGCTCACAGGAAACAATTTCCTCATTTGACTGTTGATTTGATTATTTCTCTGAACATTCGACTGCCATGCAGCATTTGCTTGTCCCAAATACAGAACTGATTCCGAGTGATGCCTCTGAGGCGTTTGAACTTTGGCACTGTGCGCTATCAGTTGTTGGTGACCACCGCATGAGCTACCGCTCACAGATACGTCACTAAGGGATCCATGCCACTTCAGTGTTTCACTTGAAGACCCTGAACTGGCACTTGAGTCTCTTCCAGCCCTGGTTTCGTTCATTCCAACTACAGCTTCATTGTCACATCTTAACCTGGAGAACATTTACAATCAAAGTGATAAGAGAAAGAATTATACAAATGCAGCAATCAGTAAAAATAAGGATGAAGTTTGAGATAAAATTTCATAACTTTCCAGAGTGCTGAACTACATTTCTCTGGACCAGAGATGAAGATATGTATGCCAGGGAATTTTAAATAAACCAACATCAGGGCCAACACGTTCTACCTTTTGTGGACATGATGGCATTATGCATTAAAACCCTGCATACCAAATTTTCAGACAGTCAAAGATTTTAGATCTGATAGGATGCATTAAAACCCTGCATACCAAATTTTCAGACAGTCAAAGATTTTAGATCTGACAGGAAGTATGCTCCTGATGTGACTTATATGAGCTTCGCTGACTGAATTTCAAATTTTCTAATAAAGTCTTGAAATGTGTGTATTTTAATGTTAAAAACTTAAATTTTACCCTAAGGAAGTCTTGAGTGATTACTGATGTTAAGATACCTGACACACATCATGGGACGGTTGCACAGGCAGGAATTGCTAAAAAATTCTCATCTCTAATTATTTTTCGTTGAGAATCTTCAATATACCCACTTAGACTTCCCAAATTCAAAGGATACCCGTATTATGAGATCAGTAGTTTAAAACTGTACCTATCAAGGAAAGGAGTTGTGGTGGAGTCTGTGCTGGAAACGTAGCTATGGTATCCTTCCGACTGGGCATAGGAGGGCTGATGTACATGAGTGGGTCTCCCCTCACAATCTCGCGTATACTGTTCAAGCTCAGCTCTGGTGAGATGACTCTGGCTAATATCCACATCTTCATAACAACTCGAATAGTCACTTTCAATCTGCAAAAATACAGTAATTGTAGAAAAATATAAAAAAGAAACTATGAGAGGATACAATTAAAATAGAATAGTTGTTCTGTTGCTAATTTTTTTCCTGGCTCGCGACTAAAAGCAAAAGAAATCCATGTCAATCTCATGTGGATTTCCAATGCAAGATTCCACCTCTTTAACACAAAGAACCAACATCTTAAGAGACCTAGAAAATGTTCAAAAGTTTTCAAGAGAGTTGAACATTACGAGACAAAGCTAAAATGACGGAGAACACACGCGTTGATAAAACGAGACCACGGGTTTGGTAGCCTATCCCATCACAGACTGAAGCAACAATGATCGTGGACCGTGGCAGCAGATTCTGATACTTACGGCGGCTAAAAACGCCTTCAACTGCGTATGATACTTCACAACACTACACCAGAGTTGAAATAGTTGCTTGCTTGCAAGTCTTATAATTCAGCCTCCTACAATGATCGGATCCGACTCTTGGGCGAAGTCTGTTCAACAGATCTTTGATCGATCCTTTTTTAGTGTATTTTCCGAAGAAAATACACTATTTTTTTCTTTTTCTTGTTTTAAATTTGCATTCAATTTGCCCTGAAGAATATACATTCCTTGCTGTTTCTCTGACTTCAATATTTCACTGGCAAGATATCTCATAAAAATTGTTTTCTTGGACGCTTTTAAACGCGATGTCTTGTGATATTGAAAAACTGAACCGTTATCAGGTCCAGAGAGGGCACCCACAAAAATTTTCGAAATTTCAGAAATTATTCACTAATAGCACTTTAAGTAAATTTCGTCATGGATGATTACAAAATAAGCGTCCTTCCTTCTTCTTTCTTCCGTTCCTTCCTTCTCCCCCTCCTTTTTCTTCCTCAATTTTTGGGGGACGAAAAGGGGGGGCGTATACCCTTATGCCCCCCTGAATCCACCTATGTTTTCTATACTGCCGTGCTAAGGAAGAACGCTGTGTGAACACTTGAGAGTTGCCAAATTTCCTTGGATAAAATGGACGTATTTCTGCCAAACGGAACTATGTGCATCATGACGTGCGCCCTGTTATGCATATATTCTTATGGGTCTCAGGGTTCATATCTCAATGCACATAGTTCCGTTTGATAGAAATACGTCCAAATAATTCTTTCTGAGTAAAATTATGAATATTTTTCCTTGAGATTTTCAGGAACTTTAGATCAAAATACGAACACAATTCTCTGAGAACTTGGAAGAAAAATATTCATGAGTTTACCAGGGAATCCGTAGTTTATCAAATAAAATTTGGCAACCCCTGAAGGTTCATACGACGTTTTTCCTTAGCTCGGCAGTATAGAAGGTGATAAAAGGGGGGGTTGATCGTACCTGTGAGTGAGAGGAGTCGTGGTAGGTGCGGGCGTATTCCTCGAGATCTGCTTCGGTGAGTTGCGGCTCGGCCATGAGGGACAGGGAGACGTCCCGTTCGGGCGGGGAAGGGACCGAGTACTCCTCCGTCCCCAGGGGTTTTCCGTCCCTGTCCACCGGCGGCAGGAACACCTCCGGCGTCTTCCGCGCCCCGGCTCCGCCACCGCCCGGCGGCCCCATCGGACCGCGGCACTCGAACGTCTCTGGCGAAATCTTCTCGCACCGCTCCATCACCGTCTTCAACTGTCAACAGTCAAAGTTTAAATTACATCACTCACAGATCAAAACATGTTGGGGGGAAAAAAAACGGAGACGGAAGAATCATCCAAATTCAGATAGAAAATTACTCCAAAATCTCACGCCGTTCACAGAAAAGTGGGTCGAAAAAAGTGGCGTGGCGTGCTTTGCGATACATCGATTGTTATGCCATTTAAACCTATGGCAAATAATAGATTATTAAGGTGTTCGCTGCGGACACCCTGTTTATCGATCCTTTTTCATGAGTTTAAATGGAACAACAATCGATATATCGCGAAGCACGCCACGCCACTGGTCGAAAATCGTCATTTCCCAGATCGAGGTACAATTCTATTCAAAAATTGCTGTAAATTATGGATTGCATTTTGCAAAAAGGAACCACTAGCATTGCAATGTTGCTAAGATTGTGCAACTTCTTTTGTCTTGGAGGAAAACCCCGATTATCCCTTAATAGTTTCTGTTTTACTCGCTAAAAACTGTGATTTTAAGAAAAACATTACCATCTAAATTTCATAGTTTTTCACAATTTCCGCAATTTTATTGCAAAGGATGAAGTTGCACAATCTTAGCATCATTGCAATGCTAGCGGTTCTTTTTTGCAAAATGCAATCCATATAATGTATAATATCCCTCCATATTTCTTTTGTATTCTTTGAATGTAGCTATAGCTATGTCTATCAATTTTAATAATCGGCCCGCTTGGCTAGTTGCCCATTTCGATGCGGAGCGCATCAAGACCCGTGCTAGGCGCCTTTCACCTTGGCCGCTGCACTTTTCTGAAATATCAATCGGGAAAGTTGCGCCGGGCGCGGCCTGTTGACCCGCAGACCCCGAAAACCCCCGCGAAAGGGCACCGCGAGGCGACGAGGCGCATCCCGCCCGGTCGTTTGCGGTCGAGCGTTCCCATTGGAATCAGGCCCCGACTGGAATAATCCTTCCATGCCAGGGAAAAACGCAGTATGAATTTCTGGGCGTTGCCAAATTCCCCATGATAAAATACGTATTTTTAGAGAAATCTTGTGAATATTTCCCTTCCAATTTCTCAGAGAATTTTATTCACAATTGAATCTAAAATACTTTCAGGATGTCTAGCGATTTTCAAAAAAAAAAAAAAAAAAAATCTCTGACATTTCCCTGATTTTCCGGACAAAAGCGGCCAAAAACCCTGGAAATATGTCAAAATTCCCTGACAGGTCCCTAGCAAAAAGGAAAAAATTCCTAATTTTTCGACACGTTTGAACTGATTAGACGCGAGATATTCTTGCCTCATTTTGAAAATTAAATAGACAACAGGAGAAATGCTGGTAGAAATTTCTTCAAGAGTAAAATCGGCGAAAATTTTTCCGGAAAATCCGTGTTCTTCGAGTTCCCTGACGTTTTCCCGACACGAAAATTGCTTGCAAAATTAAATTCCCTGCCATACCGAATTGTTGCAGATTCCCCGACATTTCCCGGTTCTTCCGGGTTTCCCTATCGCTAGACGCCCTGATCTAGAAATTTCGAGGAAAAATATACATAGCTTTCCTCGAAAATAAATACTTTGCCAGAGGAACTTCGGCAACATTTGAATGTCCATACGGCGTTATTCCTTAGCGCTGCAAAGTTGGCGACTGGGAATAATGACGGTAGCACGGCCGAGGCGGCGGCGGGGTCCGAATCAAGGCCACTGCACCGGCCGCGGCCGCGGGTTCAGGACGCTGCTCCGAGATGGGCACTGGACGCGAGCTTGCTTACGCACCTTCGGCACCCCTCCTTCCGCTCCGGGGGGCGGGGGGAGGGGGCGAAAAAGGGGGACGGCGGTGCTCAAGCTCACGCGTCTAATTACGACCCGCGTGCACGGTAGCCGGGAGTCCCGGTCTGAGGATGACCCTAGCTCTTGGTTGCCACGTCGCGTCGCACAGTGAGACGAGCCACTGGAAGAGGTCAGTGGGCCAATAATAGAAATCTATAGACAAAGCTGTAGACAAAGAGGACAATGGGACATGGAGGGATCCTATTGGTGGAGGCGGGTGGTTGCAATGGACATAGGAGGTAGGTAATCGACTAGTCCATCCATTTCTCCTTAATCTAAATAGGAGCCACTCATTTCAACCAACAGGATCGCTCAATACTCCCTACGTCTTCTTTGTCTTCAGCATTAGCGGGCTGATTATTGAAACTGATAGACAAAACTATAGACAAAGGGGGCAACAGGAATATGAAGGGATCCTGTTGGTGGAAGCGGGTGGTTGCAATGGACAAAGAAGGTAGGTAATAGACTAGGTAACAGCAACCCACGAGAGACCCTATAGTTAGTGCAGAATTTTCTCCCTTTGTTTAGAGGAACCACTCATTTCAACCAATGGGGTCGCTCCATATTCCCTATGTCTGCTTAGTCTATGAATTTCAATAATCAGCCCGCGGTTAGACACTGAAACTTTGACTAACATTGCAAATTCTGATGTTTATTTGTCACGATATAAAATTTTGGGAATGCTCCATCCAGGAGATTTTACGAGGAAGTCAATCATAGGCGGAACCAGGGGGCGTTATGGGTTTAAAAATATTATTTCATAATATTTATGATAATATACATGATAAGTGGTCTATTACACGCATTCACAGTTTCATCTCGCGATACAGCTTAGTAAAATAACGGACATCGAGCCAGATTGTCGATGAATAATAAATTACATGTAGGTACTGGCTATTTTTTGCGGGGCCTTAATTATTTTGGTCGATAAAACATCGCTCAACTATTCTTCACTAGACTTAAGATCGCTAGGTCCCCTTTTTGCCCGAATAGAACCAGGAATTTCGGTTAAGCTAACCGATCTCCTCTCCACAGATACGCACAAACATCGAGACGTTCAATATGACTTATTCCTGTCAAACGGAACTATGCGCATTATGACGTGAGCCCTATTAAGGATGCATTCTTATGAGTCTCAGGGCTCATGTCTTAATGCACATAGTTCCATTTGATAGAAATACGTCCAATTGAGGCGAAAGCGATCCACCGGTATACATCAATCCGCGAGATCTTCCTCGTCGGATAATTAATTATGCAGGTGAGCGACCCCAACCCGTGGGGAGGGGGGGGGGA